TCCCTCACACGGTTCGTGGCCTCATAGGGGGCTCCACCGAAGGCCCCAGTGGCAGGGTCCACATGGCGGCACCGCCCCATTTTGGCACACCCCTCACATGGTTCGTGGCCCCATAGGGAGCTCCACCGAAGGCCCCAGTGGCAGGGTCCACATGGCGGCGCCGCCGCATTTTGGCACACCCCTCACACGGTTCGTGGCCTCATAGGGAGCTCCACCGAGTGCCCCAGTGGCAGGGTCCACATGGCGGCACCGCCCCATTTTGGCACACCCCTCACACGGTTCGTGGCCCCGTAGGGAGCTCCACCGAAGGCCCCAGTGGCAGGGTCCGCATGGCGGCGCCGCCCCATTTTGGCACACCCCTCACACGGTTTGCAGCCCCACAGGGCGTTCCACCTAAGGCCTCATTGGCAAGGTCCGCATGGCGGCGCCGCCCCATTCTGGCGCACCACTCGCACAGTTCTTGGCTCCATAGTGCAGGGTCGACATGGCGGCGCCGCCCCATTTTGGCGCACCCCTCACATGGTTCGTGACCTCACAGGGAGCTCCACGGTGGCATGGTACGTATGGCGGCGGCGCACCGATTTTGGCACACTCCTCGCACGTTTCGTGGCCCCGTGGGGAGCTCCACCGAAGGCCCCAGTGGCGACGTTCGCATGAGTCCTCCCGACTCATGTCGGCACACCCCTCACAAGTTTCGTGGCAGCAGGCTGTACCGCGTGCGCTACTCGGTGTTTGCGCGCCCTCCTCCTTCGTCTCATCTCCCTCGTGGCTCTCGCACCTGCATATGGCATATGGTTGGGTCCTTCGTCAAGCTACTTTTCCCCTCCTGACTCATGGAATTCCCGGAAGACCTTGGGGCGCGCCGGTCCACCGTTCGCGTCGGCAAGATCGCGGGGGGGAAGCCGGCGAGCTTGTGGCAATTGCCCCAGCTCCGCCGCATCGCGCGGCCGACTGGGACGACAGGCTCGAGGTCTGAGGTTTTCGGCCGTTTTCGTTGGTTCTCGGCGGCTTTCCAACCACGGGGTGCGTTCCAGCAGCTGCGCCTCGCTGAAAGCGTTCCAGGGAACGGCCGCCGAAGGGCCGAGTTGTGACCCCAGTAGGGGAACGAATCGATGACGTAAACATGAAAACTCGGAGGTCCGCGCGGATTTCTCGGATCGGCGCTGAAGCCCCCTGGCGGCGCCTCTGGCGCCGCCCCTGGCGCGCTCCGCGGGGGCTGATCCGAGAAATCCGCGCGGACCTCCGAGTTTTCATGTGTATGTCATTGCTCGCTACCCAAAGTTCCACCCCCTCTCGTTGTATAGAAAACACGGCAAAAAAACGTTCGACAGGCTTCGGCATTTCTGCGGGCTCTCCGCGGGACCCTGGCTGTCGAAAGAAAGCCGCTCGGGGTGGAGTCCCGGTGCAGGGCGAGAGCCCTGACTTCGGATCCGCCGTGGCGTTGACCTAATAGGAACCCTAAGTAAGGAACGAGGCCCCCTTTGTTCCTTACGTTTAGCTTCGATTTCCCTTCGAAAACCCAAGGACAGCCCAAGGCGAACTGTAAAACACCTAAGGAGCACTGATGAGGGGTTTCCCCCAACGATGATCACCCCGATGCGGCGGCGACGGGTCCGTCGGGGACAAATGCGCAAAAACGATTTGTCCGCCGTACGGAACTATTGAGAAGTTATTGTAAAAAGTTGTGCGATGTGCGATGGGCGCGCCGTGGACAGTGAAGTTCAACCATGTGTGGCGCGCAATTTTTTCGGTGCGACGGCGACGGCGGGTGGCCAGACAGATGCACAGTACGTAACCAAGCACGTTCGCCGACGGTGCGACAGCGACCGGCGAGGCCGCGACAGATAGACAGTTCGTTTGTTTCCGGAGAACTCCTAAGATAGACTGTGGGAAGGATGGGGAAGCCATTCTGCTTCACCCTTGGTGCCTTTGCAGGGCCGCTTGGGGCCGTTTCGCCTGAGACGTCGTCGCAACATGGAGACGTCGGCCCGAGAAAAGCCAACGTGGCCTTCACCATGCACACACATCTCTGCAGCGCACGCAATGGCCAAAACACAATATAAAAATCCCACCAGCCCTTTGGGCGTGAGTGGTTTAAAGAGCCCTCTCTGTCCTCAACCCCCTTCTTCCCCTTGGGGGAGGGGTTTACCCCTCCCCCTACCCCCTCCCCCTGGGCCTGGAAGGGGCGTTTCGCGGGTCGTTGGGTCACCGAAGATGGCCTAAGATGGCGCCAAGAGGGCCCAAGAGAGCTCAAGGTGACCTCCAAGATCGCTCAAGATAGCCCTCGATGACTCAATATAGCTCCCAACATGCGTACAAGACGCTCCAAGACCGCCCCAAGACGGCTCCACGTGGTCACGGGGCTCCCGATGCATCGTGTAATTGTTTTATACCATCGGAGGCCATGTTAAGTTCAAAACTCAATGGTCAAAACCCAATGTAAATATTCACTATCTGGGCCCAAGAGGCTGCCACATAAGCGTGGAATATATACAACCAATACAATATGCGAGGCGCGCGCGCGCTGGTGACCCGCGCGGGGCCGGGTCACCCGCGCGCGCGATGCATCCTGTATTGGTTTTATTCCATCGGAGGCCATGTTAAGGTGAAAACTCAATTGTCGAAACCCAATGTAAAAATTCATTCTCTGGGCCCAAGAGGCGGCCATATAAATGTGGAAAATATACAAACCAATACAATATGCGAAGCGCGCGGGCGCGCTGGTGACCCGCGCGGTGCCGGGTCACCCGCGCGCGCGCGCGATGCCTCCTGTATTGGTTTTATACAATCGGAGGCCATGTTAAGTTGAAAACTCAATGATCAAAACCCAATGTAAATATTCATTCTCTGGGCCCAAGAGGCGGCCATGCCAACGTCAAATATAGAAAACACAATACAATATGCGAGGCGCGCGGGCGCGCTGGTGACCCGCGCGGTGCCGGGTCACCCGCGCGCGTGCGCGATGCCTCCTGTATTGGTTTTATACAATCGGAGGCCATGTTAAGTTGAAAACTCAATGATCAAAACCCAATGTAAATATTCATTCTCTGGGCCCAAGAGGCGGCCATGCCCACGTCAAATATAGAAAACACAATACAATGGGCGAGGCGAGCGCGGGCGCGCTGGTGACCCGCGCGGGGCCGGGTCATCCGCGCGCGCGCGCGATGCATCCTGTATTGGTTTTATACAATCGGAGGCCATGTTAAGGTGAAAACTCAATTGTCCAAACCCAATGTAAAAATTCATTCTCTGGGCCCAAGAGGCGGCCATATAAATGTGGGAAATATACAAACCAATACAATATGCGAAGCGCGCGGGCGCGCTGGTGACCCGCGCGGTGCCGGGTCACCCGCGCGCGCGCGCGATGCCTCCTGTATTGGTTTTATACAATCGGAGGCCATGTTAAGTTGAAAACTCAATGATCAAAACCCAATGTAAATATTCATTCTCTGGGCCCAAGAGGCGGCCATGCCAACGTCAAATATAGAAAACACAATACAATATGCGAGGCGCGCGGGCGCGCTGGTGACCCGCGCGGTGCCGGGTCACCCGCGCGCGTGCGCGATGCCTCCTGTATTGGTTTTATACAATCGGAGGCCATGTTAAGTTGAAAACTCAATGATCAAAACCCAATGTAAAGATTCATTCTCTGGGCCCAAGAGGCGGCCATGCCAACGTCAAATGTAGAAAACACAATACAATATGCGAGGCGAGCGCGGGCGCGCTGGTGACCCGCGCGGGGCCGGGTCACCCGCGCGCGCGCGCGATGCATCCTGTATTGGTTTTAGACAATCGGAGGCCATGTTAAGTTGAAAACTCAATGATCAAACCCCAATGTAAATATTCATTCTCGAGGCCCAAGAGGCGGCCATGTACACCTTGGCAGGTCTTAGCAGCATTTCCATTCCCCTCCGTTTGGGTAACTGGAAGAAATGGGCCGCCACCAATGGATAGACGCCCCCCGCCAGTCAAGCCGCGCCGAGGGTGCGACGGCGCCCGGGGGATGGGCAGATAGACGGACAGAAGATGCGCAGACGTATCGGTGCGACGGCGCCTGGGGGGATAGATGTAGATACATGGATACGCCGCGCCAGCCAAGCAAAGCCAACGGTGCGGCGGCGAACGATTTTTGAATATTGACCAGAACGGAGATCAATACAGGGGGAACCCCCTTATGAGCACTGATCCCCTCCCAAATGAACAAGGTTCCCTCTTCAACGCCCCGGCTGTACTTTAGCTGACTTTCCAACTTGTAATGGTGCCGGACGTGCATCCCAAACGATGCGACAAAACAGGGCGGACAACCCCCCGCCTGAGCAACGCAGGGCGGCTCTTCCCGCACGAGGGCGGCCGACACAGCGACGGGCGGAGGCGCGCGCCAGCACTTTGGCAAACCAGGCCGTGGGCAGGGCAGGGAAGCGGCCCGCCGAAGTTCTGGCCTGTCGAGCTCGAACCCTGTCTGGCCATCGCTCGGACGTCCATTCCCTGTGTTTTTTTCGGTTCCGTGCGTGGTTTCTTCGCCAAATGATCAAGGATGCTCCTCGATGGTCCTGGCCGAGGAAAAATTGATACGTCCGAGCGATGCCAAGCTGTGCTCTGGCGAGTCGAGCCCTGCGGAGCGCGGCGGCGGCGGCGGCGCCGCCGCGGCAGCGAGGCACCCTTTTGCCTCCCGCGCGCGAGCTCGTGGCCGCGCCGCCGCCGGAGGGCCGCGCGGGCCCGCCCGAGCGCAATGGGCAGAGGGAGGAACACAGCGGCATCAACAGGAGCTCGCGGCGCTCCGCGCGGAGTTCCCGGAGCCGCGCTGCACTGGACCCCCCCCCTCCCCGGCGCGCGGAGCGCGCCAGGGGCGGCGCCAGAGGCGCCGCGGGGGGGGGGGGGGGGGGGGGGGGGGGGGCCCAGCGCGGGTGCGAGAACCCCGCGCGGAGCGCCAGGAGTTTATGCTTATGGCGTGTTTTTGTTCCTCGACGCGCGGGCTCGCCCGAGCGCGGTGGGGGGGGCACTCAGGCGGCACCCGGCCTGCCGGAGGAGAAGACGTCCACGGGGACCGTGCTGCAGCTCAGCGCGGTGGGGGGGCGAGCGTCGCCCACGCGGGACGACAGGACCCTCTCGACGATCCTGCTTCTCCGGGAAGCGCCCTCCTTGCTGGGAAGCGTCCGGGGGTGACCGGCCCAGGGGGGGGCGGACCCATCGACCTCCTGGAGCCGCGAGTTCTTCTTGTTTTTTGTGTGCTTGTGTTCTCTCGCTTCGCGCCGCGAGAACAACACAACGGGCGAGCTTTGACAATTCTCGGCCTCAGGGGGCCTTCACTGGGCTCTGCAGTCAAAAACTTATACCACTACTCAGGATGAAAAGACAGCCTGGGGAAGGAATCCAGACCTTCGGTGGTCCACTAAGGAAACCACAAGGTACCCATACCGCAATTCCCCGGACCTCTCCCAGGAGCCGTTCTGACCAGAACCTCGAGGCGAATCCAGCGGTGGCGACAAGGGCCTCCCAGAAGGCCCCCAAAGGGGAAAACCGATGGAAGGGTAGCGTTGTGGGTACCTCTTCCTCCTCCGATCCGCCTCGTGAGATATTCACGGCGTCGGAGCCCTGGGTTTATCGCCGGCAGGTCGGCGGCAAGCTCCCACTGGCGAGTTCGGACGCTCCATGGCGGGGGTCGGCCCCAGGGGCCCCGAATCGTCGTCGCTAGGAGGAGGAGGAGGAGGAGGAGGAGGAGGAGGAGGAGGAGGAGGAGGAGGAGGGGGAGGAGGAGGAGGAGGAAAACGAGGAGGAGGAGGAGAAGGGAGGAGGAGGAGGAGGAGGAGGAGGAGGAGGAGGAGGAGGGAGGAGGAGGAGGAGGAGGGAGGAGGAGGAGGAGGGAGGAGGAGGGGGGAGGAGGAGGGAGGAGGGGAGGGGGGGGAGGGGGGAGGAGGGGGGAGAGGGGGAGGAGGAGGAGGAGGAGGAGGAGGAGGAGGAGGAGGAGGAGGAGGAGGAGGAGGAGGAGGAGGAGGAGGAGGAGAGGGCAGCCCGAGGCTAGAGAACCGCCGAGAGCCAGCGAAACTGCCAGGGAAAACCTCGCACCTCGAGCCCCCGACCCGAGAGGCCCCCGGACCTATCCAGGGGCGCGTTCTGACCAGCATGTTGAAGGGAATCCAGCCGTGGCGACAAGAGTCCTCCCGTCCTCCCAGGAACCCAGGAACGCTCAGAATCCTCGAACCTCGAACTCTTCAGAGGCCCGTCCCCGCGAAACCTGTCGTCGCCCTTCTGAGCCTATCCCCCCTACCATGACTCTTCACCTTCTACACCTTCCGACCACCAAGTGGCTGATTCACGGATCATCTCGAAACATAAGTGCATAAACATAAATGGTCGGAGTTCCGCGCGGAGTTCTTGGATCGGCGCTGGAACCCGCTCCCTGGCGCGCGGAGCGCGCTAGGGGCGGCGCTGGAGGCGCCGACTGGGGAAATCCCAGCGCCGATCCAAAAAATCCGCGTGGAACTCTGAAAGCTTAATGAGGCATCCGCCTTTTTCTGTTGGGCTCTCGAGGAGACTACTAAATCGGCCAGCTGCCAGTCGGAAGGTGAGGAAGGTCGAAAGTCAGGATATCCCACACATAACTTGGGCGATGAAGCGGCTACGTCCGCGTGGGGAAAATCGGGCCACCTTTCGAGCCGCATCGGCGATGCCTCGGCGATGCGGCGCGATCCTCCGACCCCATCTGCACGGCCCCCTCCAGGAGGCCTAGACCAGAGGCCCGTCACCTCGAAAACCTGTCGTCCCCCCGCTCTGTCGGGGGTCGCTCAAGGTGCCCCTGGCCCAAGGTGCTCTCAGCTTTTCGTTCCATTTTGGATCCCCTGGGGCCCTCTGGGCCTCGTGAGGGGTGCTCTGGAGGCCATCGGGGCCTTATTGGACATCCTTTGGCGGCGCGCGCTCTGGGGTAGGGGGAGGGGGGAAGGCTTCTTGGGAGGCTGCCTCTTGGAAGGCGTAGGCCTTCCATCTGTTGATGAGGCCCGCGCCTTCTGAGGAGCAGGGGTGCTTCTAAGAAGCCTTCCCCCATCCCCCACCCCCCTCTGCGCGCCGCCAAGGTGCCCTCCCCAAAATGCGGCCGGTGCCGCCTCGTTCGGCGGCCGAGATCCGCGATTCCCCACGGACACGGGCCCGTCGCCAATCCGCGCTCCCTTGATACGTGCCTGCGATCGCCTGAACTGTGCTTCCTTGTGCGACTCATTGTGATTCCTCTGCGGACATCGGTGCCGCTATCCGCCCCCGTGTCCCCCCACCCCCCACGCTGAGGGTGCTTCTAAGAAGCCTCCCCCCATCCCCCTACCCACCTCTGCGTGTGGGCGAGCTTGGCTGTCGGGGCATGACTCGGGTATCCCGAGGCCGTCCAGGACGATCCGGGCGCCCCCGGAGCGCCCTCGGCGAGGCGCGGCTGCTGGCACGCATGCCGCGGCTGGAATCCCGTCGAGGAGCGACGAAGCCGCTGGAAAGCTTCGGAACTCGAGCATCGAGAAGCCCAGACGCGACCCGAAAAGCCTAGACACTCCCCTCCTCCTCATCCTCCTCCTCCTCCTCCTCCTCCATTCCTTTTCCCTGCGAAAAACTTATTCCTGTTGCATGCCGAGGCTAGTTTTAGGGCGGGCCGGGCGTTTCGCCTGAGACTTCCTCACCATTGGAGGGCGGGTGGTTTTCAAAATGTGGCTCTCGCCTTAGCGCCGCGCACATTCGTTTTAAACAATTGCAAGAGCTCCACGGATTGAGGGCGACTGGTTTTCATCATGTGTTTCTCGTCTCAGCGCCGCGCACATCTGATTCAAACAATTGCAAGAGTTTCACGGATTGAGGGCGGGTGGTTATCAACATGTGACACTCGCCTTAGCGCCGCGCGCATTCGTTCAAAACATTTGCAAGAGCTTCACAGATTGAGGGCAGGTGATTTTCAAAATGTGGCTCTCGCCTTAGCGCCACGCATATTCGCTTTACAAACTTGCCAGAGTTTCACGGATTGAGGGCGGTTCCTTTTCAAAATGTGGCTCTCGCCTTAGCGCCGCATGCATTCGTTTCGCGGAATCCCATGATCAACGTACCAGAAATGGTGTTTGGGAGAGATTCAAGATTATGCGTGTGCAACAATTAAATTACGCTGATTCGCGGTGTTGACGTCCCAGGAATGGCGTTCTAGCACGATTCAGGCTCGTCAAAAATCAACAGTCAGGTTGATCCGTGACGTTGGAATCCCGAGAAACATGTTTTGGCATGCTTCTGAATCTTCAAACGGTTGTCCTCCGACGGGGCAGTTCCCCCAGTGGAGATGAACCGTTGTAGGAGCATATGAAGAGGGAGCTTGAAGGGAGGATTTGTTCCAACATCGTTGATGACTCTTGGGTTTACTCTGGTCCTCCTCCTCCTCCTCCTCCTCCTCCTCCTCCTCCTCGAACATAAAAAAGCCCAACCCCTTCCCCTCTTCTGCGCGCGGCCGAATCCTGGGGGGCGTCTTGGGCCAAGGGCACTTCCCGCGACGCCTGGCTCTGCGCCTGCAGGTCCGAGCTGCATCGGATCGCGACATCCGATCGGATCGGAAGCGGATCGGATCGCTGGCGAATCGCCCCAAACCGAATCGAAACCGGATCGCCGCGCCCAGCTCCGGCTGGCCCTGGCCGAAGCCGGTGAAGCGAGCCAAACCGAATCGAATCCGAATCGCGGCCCCGGCCGGCGAAACGAATCGCATCGAATCGGATCGTAGGCGGCCCTGGCCTGTCCCTCACCCCCCTCCAGGACGTTGCCCCCGAGGCTCCACGATCGATCGATCGATCCTCGATCCTCGATCGATCCCCGATCGATCCTCGATCGACCGACCGACCGATCGATCGAGCCTGTCCCCATCCCCCCCCCTCCCCCAGGACGTTGCCCCCCCCGAGGCTCCTCGCCGCCGTCGGCGGCGCCGCCGAAGAACACCTCGAAGTCGTCGTCGTGGGCGCGCGCCTGCGGGCGGCGCTCACCGAGGGGGGGCCGCCGAGGCTGGAGTACCACAACGGGCCTGTGGAGGCCAGCGGGAACTGCCCAGGGGAGCTGTCTGCGCGCAGCCCGAAGCCTCACCAAGCCAACCCCGGCCTTAGAAATCCGATGCCTGGATTTCTTCAATGCGGGGTCCTGGAATACCATTCTGGACCTGCTCTAGGATAGGAACAGACCGTAGACGGGTCTACCCTTTACCGCGCTGGACGCAACGGCCACGCTGTCCACAGACGGATCCACCCCGAACCCCGAAAGTGTCTGTGGACGGCAGGGCACCCAGCGTGTCCATAGACGCTTTTGGCTAGGACGTGAGAACGATATTTGGCATCGGCAGGGGAGGATGCTTCTGAGAAGACGACGTCGTCGTTGTCGCCGCCGCCGTCGTCGTTGTCTTTGTCGTCGTCGTCGAGAATGTCAAGAACCCACCCTTGGACCCATCCAGGGGCGAATTCCGACCGGCAACCTGACAAGAATCCAACCGTGGCGACAAAGAGTCCTCCCGGGAGCCCAGAAGAGGCCTGAACCCCCCGACCCTCGCGGTCTTCGAGAGCCTCCAACCTCGAACCTGCCGCTCTCTCTCGAGCCTCTCCTTAGGTCGGGCAGGTCCTCCTTAGAGGAATCAAGAACGGCAGAAACTGAAACTTTTGGACCCCCCTCCCTGGCGCGCGGAGCGCGCCAGGGGCGGCGCTGGAGGCGCGGCCAAGGCGCTCCAGCGCAGATCCAAGAAATCCGCGCGGAGCGCCAAAAATTTCTGTTTATGCAGTTTGTTCTTCTTCGACTCCTGCAGGCGGATTCTGGGAGAAACATAAGAGAATGGTCGAAACCAAAAAAGTAAAAATGATCAAAAGAGCACGGGAAATCGTCCCTAGGCTACTCTTATACCACTCTTGAATATTTCTCTTGTAGAGGGGCATGCCAGACTTGAGCCTACCCCCCCTGGCTCGGCGGCGAGCGAAGGGGGGAAGTGAGAAGGAGACGGCCTTCTCAAAGGCGGCAGGACATCTCAGAAGCCCTGCCAACTTCTGAGAATTTTTGCTGTGTCTTCGGGGAAGGCTTTGGAAATCTCAGAAGGCTGGGGGACCGCCGAGCCTTCTGAGAAGACCGTCTCCTTCTCACTTCCCCCCCTCGCTCGCCGCCGACTAACGGTGCCCCAACCGTGGCGACGAGTCTTGCCAGCACCATCACCACCGAGCCGGGCATCTTCTAGAGGGACGCGTGGGCAGAATGAGTGCGCGATTGGCATCTCTTCGTGAAGACACTTTTCCTCTGAGTACTCCTCAGAACCCTTCGACGGGAGGCGGGTCTCCCAAGATCGGGGGCTGCTAGAAGGTGCTCCTGGCACAAGGTGCCCTCAGCTTGTCCCCTGAGGCCCTCTGAGCCTCGCGAGGGTTGCTCCGGAGGCCGTGGGGGCCTCCCTTGAAGTCCTTTGGCGGCGCGCGCAAGGGGTAGGCAGAGGGGGGGGGAGGCTTCGTAGAGGGAGGCTGCTTCTTGGAAGGCGTGGGCCTTACACCTATCGAGAAGGCCCGCGCCCTCTAAGGAGCAGGTTGCTTCTGCAAGGGCTCCTAAGTTCGCGCTTCGCGCTGCGCGAAGCGCGAATAACTTCGCGCTCTCGCGCCGCCCTCCCAAAGGGAGAAAAGGAGGACGAGGAGGAGGGGGAGGAGAAACGAGGACCGCGAAGCGCGAATAACTTCGCGCCCTCGAGGGAGCCCTTGTTCTGAGAACCCTTCTCCCCTCCCCTTCCCACCGCTGCCCGCTGCGCGTGGCCGAGTCCTTGGGGGCCCCTTGGGCCAGGGGCGCTTCTCGCAACGCCCGACCACGAGGCCCCCTCGCCTTCCAGGAGGCCGGCCGGCGCCCGCCCCCTTCCGGAGAAGCCGCCCCCTCCCGCGCCAGCCCCGACGGCCGCAAGAGGTCCCGACCACCTGCGCGTGGACTTGCGTCCCTCGATCGAGGATCGATCCTCGATCGACCGATCGATCCTCGATGGATCGATCCTCGATCGATTGATGAGGATCCTCGATGGACTCGATCCTCGATCCTCGACCGATCGATTGATCGAGGATCGATCCTCGATCGACCGATCGATCGATCGATCGATGCTCGACACGTTTCCCGCCCCCGTCTGCGCGCGCCCCCGCCGCGGCCTGCTCGAACACGCTCCCGCTCTCGACCCACCCGCCGTGGAAGAAGTGGAACAGCACGATGCCGCCCACCGCGCCCGCCCACCCGGACGTCGCGCCCACCTTTGGCGGCGCGCACAAGGGGGTAGGGGGAGGGGGGAAGCCTTCTTAGAAGGAGGCTGCTTCTTATAAGGCGCCGGCCTTACATCTACAAAGAAGGCCCGCGCCTTCTAAGAAGCAGGGGTGCTTCTAAGAAGCCCTCCCCCCTCCCCCCACCCCCCTCTGCGCGTGGCTGACACCTACAGTCGGGGCCTTGACCTAAGGAACCCTGAATAAGGAACGAGGCCCCTTTTTCCCACAAGTGAACCTTCGATTTCCTGTCGGAGACATAAGGAAAGCCTGAGGCAAGCTGTGAAACACTTCAGGAACGCGGAGCCTCTCCCCAACGAGGTTCCTTCTTCAGGGCCCCGACTGTATAAGACGAAGCCAGGGCGAGGGCAAATTCGGGTGAGGATGAATCGAGAATCTCTGAGATCCGGCGGCTCTGGAAGATGTCTCGGGCGCCGCGCGGCCTCCTCAGAGCGTCCCGGGACGCACTGAGAGCGTTCCGGAGCGCTCTGGAACGGAGTTCTCCCGGTCCTGGCCCCGTCTGACCACCCTCGCGGAGACGAAGGCGTTCTCGGGGCTCAGCAGCGCCCAGTCCTGAGAAGGGGGTATCATAACTCGAGGTCCTGGCGCTGCAATGTCATTTCCCCCTGGCTGTGCTTCCGCTGGCTTTTACGGGGGCCGGGGCCATCGCGTGTCGATCCGGCTCGCAAATTGCAGCAGAACTGTGCGGTCCAGGCTTCTGGTAGTAATCTTCGCGATGTTGCTTCGCAGTGTCGGATCTCAAGGTTGGCGGGGGGGGGCATTACCCTGGCATTCTCTCGTCGTTACCAAAAAACTACAGCGGCTGGTTTTGCCGGTTTTCGGACTCCAGGGGGCCTCCCCGAGCCCCAGGAATGTAAACAAAACTGCCCAGGATATTAAAAGCCGGTCCTGGGGAAGAATCTGGATCCCTGGGGGTCCAAGTTGCGAAACAAGCACGACGTCAGAGTTCTGGGTAGGAAAGCCGCATCAGGAGCGAAGGGGCTTCTCTGACCACCTCGGCGCGCCTCTGCCACGGTTCCCCAGCCTAAGCCCAAGGAGCGGCCTGGAAACCAGAGCCCCTCCGGAGCGACCTTACTAGGGAAACGAACTCTATATACACCGACGCTTTTTCGGACCCTGCGCTGAAATTCACACAGGATGCTGGTGTATACGGGATCCTGGTGTATACATTTTTCGTCGTTTCCCGTGGAAAACGGGGGAAAGGTATACACCACACCACCCCGACGTCGCCCCAGACCCTCCAAAAGTCGTGGGATTGAAGAAACAGCCCCGCCACTTGCCATCCCTCGGATGTCCACTTCGCGTGCACTTTTCGGCTTCGTGCGTTTTTTTCCCAACCATCCTGTGGTGTTGGGTCCTCGTTTTGAAGAGACAGCGCCCCGCGTCCCACCTCTTCTCCTCCTCCTCCCCCTCCTCGCCCTCCTCCCTCCTCCCCCTCCTTGCCTCTGCTCTCGGCACACCCCTCACACGTTTCGTAGCCCCATTGGGAGCTCCACCGAAGGTCCCAGTGGCACAGCCCGCATGCGGTTCCCCCACCCAGGGCAGCGTTTCGTGGCCCCATAGGGAGCTCCACCGAAGGCCCCAGTGGCACAGCCCGCATGCGGTTCCCCCACCCAGGGCAGCGTTTCGTAGCCCCATAGGGAGCTCCACCGAAGGTCCCAGTGGCACAGCCCGCATGGGGTTCCCCCACCCAGGGCAGCGTTTCGTAGCCCCATAGGGAGCTCCACCGAAGGTCCCAGTGGCACAGCCCGCATGCGGTTCCCCCACCCAGGGCAGCGTTTCGTGGCCCCATAGGGAGCTCCACCGAAGGTCCCAGTGGCACAGCCCGCATGCGGTTCCCCCACCCAGGGCAGCGTTTCGTGGCCCCATAGGGAGCTCCACCGAAGGTCACAGTGGCACAGCCCGCATGCGGTTCCCCCACCCAGGGCAGCGGTTCGTGGCCCCATAGGGAGCTCCACCGAAGGTCCCAGTGGCACAGCCCGCATGCGGTTCCCCTACCCAGGGCAGCGCTTCGTAGCCCCATAGGGAGCTCCACCGAAGGTCCCAGTGGCACAGCCCGCATGCGGTTCCCCCGCCCAGGGCAGCGTTTCGTACCCCCATAGGGAGCTCCACCGAAGGTCCCAGTGGCACAGCCCGCATGCGGTTCCCCCACCCAGGGCAGCGTCTCGTAGCCCCATAGGGAGCTCCACCGAAGGTCCCAGTGGCACAGCCCGCATGCGGTTCCCTCACCCAGGGCTGCGTTTCGTGGCCCCATAGGGAGCTCCACCGAAGGCCCCAGTGGCGCAGTTCGCATGCGTTCCCCCCCACCCAGGGCAGCGTTTCGTGGCCCCATAGGGAGCTCCACCGAAGGTCCCAGTGGCGCAGTTCGCATGCGTCCCCCCCACCCAGTACAGCGTTTCGTGGCCCCATACGGGGCTCCCCCGAATGCGATACCCACAACTGCATATGGTTGGGTCCTTCGCCAGGCTAATTTTCTGTTTTTTGTTGCTCGATGGCCCAGGATGGTCCTCGATGGTCCTCGCCGAGGAAAACATGCACACGTCCGACCGATGCCAGGGACACTGGTAGTGTATCTGTCCCAGTGTCCGACCTACGCGCCTACGCGGTGGCTTCCGCGGGCTGCAAGCGCGGCGCGCGGCGCGCTGCAAACGGGGGCGCTCACGCGCGACCTGGCGCGGGAAGCCTGCGCGCCGCTGCCGGCGCCGACGACCCCGTCCTTCGGCGCCGCTCGCCCGAGGAGCGGCCCGGAAGCTGGAGCCCCTCCCTGGGCCCAGAGGGTTGGTGATGCCTCGGCGTCTTGGCGATGCCGATACCCGAGAGCGTCCTGACCAAGCCCTCCGAGGCGAGTCCAGTCTCGGCGGCGCAGGCCCTCCCCCAGGACACAGCAGAAGGCGAGGGCGTGGGAAACGCAGTCACACAGATCAGGACAACAAAAAGCTTGGGCAACGCTTACTGGGGGGGAATGGAATGGAATGGAATGGGCTATCGCGGTGCAATACGACGACGGGGCGAACTACGAGGGCTTAGCTCGGTTCGAACCCTGATCTTTGGGCCATTCCCCAGCCTCGAAATCAAAAAGGGAGGGAAGAAGGGTGCACTGATCGGGCCCCGGAGGCCCCCCGTGGAGCCCTATAGAGGGCCCCGCTGAGGGGCCCCAAAAGGGCCTCTGTTTCGGCAGCCTTCGCTGCCCCCCGCAATGGTCGGGGGCGCGCGGGCGTGGATCAGCCGATCCACGGATTCGGCGCGCGGTCGCCGAACCCGTGCATCGGGGGAGGTGCCCTCCCAAAATGTGGCCGGTGCCGCCTCGTTCGGCGGCGGAGATCCGCGATTTCCCATGGAAGCGGGCCCGTCGCCAAGCCACGCTCCCTTGATGCATGTTTGCGATCGCCTGAACTACGTTTCTTTGTGCAACTCATTGTTTTTCCTCTTCGGACATCGGTGCCGCTGTCCGCCCCCGTGTCCCCCCCCCACGCTGAGCGGTGGTAGTAATTCCAAGTGTTGCCTGCCAGGGTTTCCGTGCTACTGCCAGTCACATCCGACCGCATGCATCAGCCCACTTCCCGAGGCTTACTAGGCGCCCCGACGCCTCCCTGGTGCTCTCCAAGAGGTCCCAAAAGCCAAACATAACTTACAAGACGGCCCTGGCGGGTCACCAAGACTGCTAAGATTGCCCACTGTGCCTCTAAGACATCCCGAAATCGCGAAACGGCCCAAGGGGCCCCGAAGACGGTCCAAGAGGGCTCCAACAGGACCCGCCCAAGAGACGGCCTCCAAGCTGACCCCAACGCCCAAGAGGCCCAAAGAGGGTCAGAGGCTCTCAAGATTGCCCAAAAGGCCTGAAGGACGGCCCAAGGAGGCCCGAAAGACCCCTGCAAGAGCGCCCTTGAGGCGCCGAGAGGCCCCCAAGAGGCCCCAAGAGAGGAGGGAAAAGAGTAAGGCAGCAAAACGACGCCGGACACAAAGAGAGATACCCCAAACATGACGCGGAAGAGAGCGTCACATTTCATGGCTCTGGGAACACAGGACACATGATATCACACGTTACATTCCCCAATCAGCGCTTGCACTGAAAAGGTCCTGGCCGATTTCGGTGGGCGGCTGGGTTCCCGGGTTTCTGGTTCCTGGTTGGTTCCCGGTTGCTGGTTCTGGGCCGATTTCGGTGGGCGGCGGGGTTCCTGCGGTTCCAGCTTTTGGGTCCCAGGTTCCGGGGTTCCCGTTCGATCTCACTATCGATTTCACTATCGATCTCACCATCCATCTCTTTCAATCGATCTCACTACATAGCATAGCACGGGACAGCCCGCGCAGGGGGACACCACGGGACACCGTCGGGACACCATCGCGACACCATCGGGACACCAACGGGACACCGTCGGGACACCACAAGGCCACTGCTGGCCAACTGGGGGGGACAGCAACGTTTGGATCGGCTTCGCCCTGGCAACGGCGGGTTCATTCCTTTCGCCCGCCCACGCAGCTTCGCCTCGCCCGCACGCGCGACACGAACGTGACTCCGAAACCAATATCCCTGTGGGGGGGTCTCCGTTTCACTGCGATCTCGCCCACAAACCTCCGAGATGCACAGAGAGACAGAGAGAAGGGGGAGAGAGAGAGAGAGAGAGATACAAAAAGATAACCAAACAACTATAGAACTGAAGCATGATAGGAGGCGGAGTAGAGAGAATGAGAAAGAGAGAGAGAGCTGGTAATCTATATATATATATAGAGAGAGAGAGATACACATATGGAGAGAGAAGCAACAAGTTTGATACATAAATAACATGTGCATGTATGTATGTAGGTATGTGCGTATGTGTAGGTGTACTTATATGTTATGCACAGTAGGGTATAGGGAGCGAAACATAGAGTCAGAGAGAGAGAGATAGAGAGAGAGAGAGAAACAAACAAACGCATATTCGAATTAAACTACAGCTGGAGGAAGGCCGATTGAGGCAACTGCGACACAAAACACATCCACTGATTTCGCTGGTGTAAACTACTGTGGTGGCATAAGGAACGCTGAGTCGGGCGTTTCTGGCTACGGTGAGCCTCGGCCACGGATAGATCCACCGACCGACACCTGAGGAGCAGCCCGAAAACAAGAGCCCCGCCCTGAGCCCGACGTGGTCTTGATTCCAACGTATTGACTGTACGGCTTCCTGTGCGCTCCTCGAGCGGTCGCCACCCAGAGTGCTGGGCTGGCACGGTGGCGGGCCTTGCTGCAGGCAGCTGCCTATCACGCACCGAGCATCAACGCACCACCAACGCGCGCCCGGCGATGGCCATCCTGAACCCCAGGCTAATTGTGCCCTCCTGGGCAAGAGAAATCTACGTCGAGGAACTTGACAAGAATCCCAACACCATGCGGCCACCCCGAATCCCCACTGACTCACCACACGGTGTGGGCACCGCATATTTTGGGTCCCCCCCATTTGGGAGGCCTGGAGCATCGTTCGCATGTCTCCCGTACGATGACATCCGCAGATACGATTTCCCCGATGCGCGGCCCAGAAGTCCCGACCTCTGCGGCTGGGAAACCGCAGAAAACCAGCGAAAATGCATGAAAACCTCAAAAACCTGGAGCCTGTCCCCCCCGCGTCGTCAGGCTGTGTCGTGGGTCAAAAAACCGCACTTCTGATGTGTTCTGACCAGCATTTCGAGGCGGATCCAGCCGCGGCCACGAGTACACCCCAAGACGATCAAACACGCCCAGAAAGCGAACCTCGGTCCTGGAACCTTGAAGCCCCTGAGCCCATCCTTCCTAGCGTTGCCTCTGAGATCTATGCGGCGTCGGCGACTCCTACGGATGCGTTTTGCGCAAGGTGCGGTTTGCAACCCGAACTCTGGTGGGGCGGGCGAGGACCTCGACAGAGTTCTCCGCCGCACCCCGAGAAGGTTCGACGAAGGCAACGTGGTGCCCTCCAAACCTCAACGATGCAGATCGCAAACCATACCCCGGCGCACCGTACCTGCGCTCTCTGGCCCCTTTACTCCATTATTCGCGACAATGCACGTGACTGGACCAGCCCACCCTTCGCACGGGGAGGACAGGTCCCGAGGGAAACGGGTCCTGGACCCGGACCCCAGGGTCTTCCCCCACCCTGACTCCAGATCCGCCCTACTTTGGCTATTTTTCCAACTTAAAATTGCGTCGGAAATCCACCTATAAGAGGCCGAAATTGTAGAGCGGAAATTTCTGCACCCAACATAAAGTAGGGCGGAAATCCACAGAAATAGGGCGGAAACAGCAACAGAAAAGTAGGGCGGAAATTGGCATCAGCGGGGCCTGAAAAGTAAGGCGGAAATTACGAGCCCTACTTACGAATTTCCCCAAAGTAGGGCGGATCCGGAGTCAGGGCAGGACGAGATCTTCATCCTGAGAGTCATGTTCTGCCACGCGCGGGGCCCGTGGAGGGCCCCGAGGGCCCGAAGACGGCGAAGAAAGAACCCAGGGGCCTTCGCCCAGGACGAGATCTTCATCCCGAGCCGTTCTCTGGCACTCCTGGGGCCCGTGAACGGGGGGGACCCCGAGAGCCCGAAAAACGGCGAGAGAAACCTCGGGACCCGTTTCCCCCATGACAGACCCCCCTGGTCGGCGACACGCAACGAAGTGACCCTATGCAGGAGTGACCCCTCTGGTGTGCGGCCTCCGGGGGCGCAAGGTGGCCACATCTCAGCGCGACAGGCAGCCACCATCACATCGTGCGGAGCGATCGGGGAGGCCACTCCGGCGAAGGGGTCACTCGCCAGACCCCCGACGTCGTGATTTTTTCGCCACGTCGGCCCCCCGAGGCCTAGACCCCTTCCCCGAGACCGGTTTTTCATCCTGCATCGTTTCTTTGATGGCCCATGAGGGCCCCTGGAGGCCGAAAACAACGAAAAAACTCCCGTCGTGACTTTTCACAGAGCGAGAGGGTCTGGGTCTTACGCGTAGTCGACCAGGGCACGCCACGATTCGCGCGGGTCGCGCCCGTGATCGCCAGGGGACAGCTCGGCGGTGGACAAACCTCCCTTGAGCAAACCTCCCCTTAGTGAAAACGGCCTGGGACCGAAACCGGACCTGGACCCGCAAACATGACGGCCGCGACGCCCTCTCGCGAACCGAAAGCGGCCAATTCCTTAGTCGACGTGTCAGGTCAGGAGGTCTATCCACCTCCGAACAGCAAGAGGCGACCGCCTTTCCCTCGCCATTGCTCGGACGTCCATTCCCTGTGCTTTTTTCGGTTTCGTGCGTGGATTTTTCGCCAAATGATCAAGGATGCAACTCGATGGCCCTCGCCGAAAGAAAAATGCACACGTCCGAGCGATGCCAAAATTCCTGCCCAGGGCGGTCCACGGTCGGCAGCGCGCCCTCCCGGGGATCCTGCCCCAGGCCGCGCTGGAGCGCCTGCGCCCGCCCACGGCCGCCGCTGCCGCCGCCGCCGCCGCCAGCAGCCGCTGCCCTCGTCGCGCTCGCCGTCACCGTGCTCGTCGCCGTCGTCGTCATCGTCGTCGTCGTCGTCGTCGTCGTTGTCGCCGTGGTCGTCGTCGTGGCCGTCGACGTCGTAGTCGTGGCCGTCGACATCGTGGTCGTCGTTGTGGTCGTCGACACCGCCGTCGTCGTGGTCGTCGTCGTCGTCGTCGTCGACATCTTCGTCGTCGTCGTCGTCGTCGTCGGCATCGTCCTCGTCGTCGTCGTGGTGGTGGTCGTCCTCGTCGTCGTCGTTGTGGTGGTCGTCGTCGTCGTGGTGCTGAAATGGTGGTGGTCGTCGTTCTCGTCGTCGTGGTCGTGGTGGTGGTGGTCGTCGTCTTCGTCGTCGTTGTGATGTTGGTGGTGGTCGTCGTGGTGGTGGTGGTGGTGGTGGTGATCGTCGTCGTCGACGTGGCAGCCGTCGTCGTCGTCGTCGTCGTCGTCGTCGTCGTCGTCGTCGCCGTCGTCGTCGTCGTCGTCGTCGGGGTCGTCGTCGTCGTGGTCGTGGTGGTGTTGGTGGTCGTCGTCCTCGTCGTCTTGGTGGTCGTGGTGGTGGTGGTGGTGGTCGTCGTCCTCGTCGTCGTTGTCGTCGTCGTGGTCGTGGTGGTGGTGGTGGTCGTCGTCGTCGTCGTCGTGGTGGTGGTGGTTGTCGTCCTCGTCGTCGTCGTGGTGGTGGTGGTGGTGGTCGTCGTCCTCGTCGTCGTGGTGGAGGTGGTCGTCGTCGTCGTCGTCGTCGTCCTCCTCGTCGTCGCCATGGCAGTCGTCGCGGTTGTCGTCGTCACGGTTGTCGTCGTCGTCGTCGTCGTCGTCGTCGTCGTCGTCGTCGTGGTCGTCGTCGTGTTCGTCGTCGCCGTAGTCGGGGCCGTCGACGTCGTGGTAGTCGTTGTGGTGGTCGACGCCGTCGTCGTCGTGGTAGTCGTCGTCAACGACATCTTCGTCGTCGTTGTCGTCGGACTCGTCGTCGTCGTGGTGGTGGTCGTCGTCCTCGTCGTCGTGGTCGTCGTGGTGGTGGTGGTGGTCGTCGTCATCGTCGTCGACATCGCGGTGCTGGTGATGGTTGTGGTCGTCGTCCACGTCGTCGTCGTCGTGGTGGTGGTGGTGGTCGTCGTCGTCCTCATCGTCGTCCTCGTCGCCGTCGTGGTGGTGGTGGTCGTCGTCGTCGTGGTGGCGGTGGTGGTCGACGTGGTCATCGCCATGGTGGTCGTCTTCGTCGTCGTCGTCGACATCTTCGTCGTCGTCGTCGTCGGGGTCGTCTTCGTCGTCGTGGTGGTGTTGGTGGACGTCGTCCTCGTCGTCGTTGTCGTCGTGGTGGTGGTGGTCGTCGCCCTTGTCGTCATTGTCGTCGTCGTGGTCGTGGTGGTGGTGGTGGTCGTCGTCCTCGTCGTCGTCGTGGTGGTGGTGGTCGTCGTCCTCGTCGTCGTTGTCGTCGTCGTGGTCGTGGTGGTGGTGGTGGTGGTCGTCGTCGTCGTCGTCGTCGTGGTGGTGGTTGTCGTCCTCGTCGTCGTCGTCGTGGTGGTGGTGATCGTCGTGGTTGTCGTCCTTGTCGTCGTCATGGTGGTGGTGGAGGTGGTCGTCGTCGTCCTCCTCCTCGTCGTCGCGGTTGTCGTCGTCGTCGTCGTCGTGGTCGTCGTCGTCGTCGTCGTAGTCGTGGCCGTCGACGTCGTGGTCATCGTTGTGGTAGTCGACATCGCCGTCGTCGTCGTCGTGGTGGTGGTGGTCGTCGTCCTCGTCGTCGTCGTCGTCGTCGTGGTGCTGGTGGTGTTGGTGGTCGTCGTCCTCGTCGTCGTCGTGGTGGTGGTGGTGGTCGTCGTCGTCCTCGTCGTCGTCCTCGTCGTCGTCGTGGTGGTGGTGGTCGCCGTCGACGTGGTCGTAGCCATGGTAGTCGTCGTCGTCGTCGGCGTCTTCGTCGTCGTCGTAGTGGTGTTGGTGATCGTCGTCCTCGTCGTCGTGGTCGTCGTGGTGGTGAGGGTGCTCGTCGTCCCCGTTGTCGTCGTCGTGGTCGTGGTGGTGGTGGTGGTCGTCGTCTTCGTCGTCGTCGCGGTGGTGGTTTTGGTGGTCGTCGTGGTCGTCGTCCTCGTCGACGTCGTCGTGGTGGTGGTGGTCGACGTCGTCGTCTTGTCCTCGTCGTCGCGGTTGACGTCGTCGCCATGGTAGTCGTCGCGGTTGTCGTCGTCGCGGTTGTCGTCGTCGTCGTTATCGGCGTCGTCGTCGTCTTGGTGGTCGTGGTGGTGGTGGTGGTCGTCCTCGTCGCCGTCGTCGTCGTCGTGAAGGTGGTGGTGGTCGTCGTCCTCGTCGTCGTCGTCGTATGGTGGTGGTGGTGGTGGTCGTCGTCGTCGGCGACGTCGTCGTCTTCATCGTCGTGGTAGTCGTGGTGGTGGTCGTCGTCCTCGTCGTCGTCGTCGTGGTGGTGGTGGTCGTCGTCGTCGTCCTCGTCGTCGTCGTCGTGGTGGTGGTGGTCGTCGTCGGCGTCGTCGTGGTCGTCGTCGTGGTGGTGGTGGTCGTCATCCTCGTCGTCGTCGTCGTGGTGGTGGTGGTCGTCGTCGTCATCGTAGCCGTCGCCATGGTTGTCGTCGTGATCGACGTCGCGGTCGTCGTCGTCGTCGCCGTCGTCGTTGGCGTCGTCGTCGTCTTCGTCTTCGTCTTCGTCGTGTTGGTGGTGATGGTCGTCGTCCTCGTCGTCGTCGTCGTGGTGGTGGTGGTGGCGGTCGTCGTCCTCGTCGTCATCGTCGTCGTCGTGGTGGTGATTGTGACCGTCGTTCTCGTCGTCGTCGTGGTGGTGGTGGTCGTCGTCCCCGTCGTCGTCGTCGTCGTCGTCGTCGTCGGCGTCGTCGTCGTCGTGGTGGTGGTGGTGATCGTCGTCGTCGTCGTCCACGTCGTCGTCGTCGTGGTGGTGGCGGTGGTCGTCGTTCTCGTCGTTGTTGTCGTCGTCGTCGTCGTGGTGGTGGTGATCGTCGTCGTCATCGTCATGGTGGTGGTCGTCGTCGTGGTCGTCGCCATGGTAGTCGTCGTGGTCAACGTCGCGGTCGTCCTCGTCGTCGTCGTCGGCGTCGTCATCGTCGTCGTCGTGGTGGTGGTCGTCGTCGTGGTGGTGGTGGCGGTGGTGGTGGTCGTCGTGGTCGTCGTCCTCGTTGTCGTCGTCGTCATCGTGGTGGTGGTGTTGGTGGTTGTCGTCGTCCTCGTCGTCGTCGTCGTCGTGGTGGCGGTGGTGGTGCTCGTGGTACTCGTCGTGGTGGTCGTCGTGGTGGAAGGGGTGCTCGTCGTCGTCGTCGTGGTCGTCGCAGTGGTAGTCGTGGTGGTCGACGTCGTCGTCGTCGTCTTCGTCGTTGTCGTTGTCAGCGTCGTCGTAGTCCCCGTCGTCGTCGTCGTCGTCGTGGTGGTGGTCGTCGTCCTCGTCGTCCTCGTCGTCGTCGTGGTGGTTGTGGTGGGGGTCGTCGTCATCGTAGTCGTCGTCGTCGTCGTCGTCGTCGTCGTCGTCGTCGTCGTCGTCGTCGTCGTGGTGGTGGTGGTCGTCGTCGTCGTCGTCGTCGTGGTGGCGGTGGGGATCGTCCTCGTCGTCGTCGTCGTCGTCGTGATGGTGGTGTTGGTAGTGGTCGTCGTCCTCGTCGTCGTCGTCGTGGAGGTGGCGGTGGTCGTCGTCCTCGTCGTCGTCGTTGTCGTCGTCGTCGTCGTGGTGGTGGTAGTCGTCGTCCTCGTGGTGGTGGTCGTCGTCGTCGTCGTGGTCGTCGCCATGGTAGTCGTCGTGGTCGACGTCGCGGTCGTCCTCGTCGTCGTCATCGGCGTCGTCATCGTCGTCGTCGTGGTGGTGGTGGTGGTCGTCGTCGTGGTGGTGGTGGCGGTGGTGGTGGTCGTCGTCCTCGTTGTCGTGGTGGTGTTGGTGGTTGTCGTCGTCCGCGTCGTCGTCGTCGTCGTGGTGTGGTGGCGGTGGTGGTGGTCGTCGTCCTCGTCGTCGTGGTCGTCGTGGTGGTGGTGGTCGTCGCCGTCGTGGTCGTCGCAGTGGTAGTCGTGGTGGTCGACGTCGCGGTCGTCGTCGTCGTCTTCGTCGTCGTCGTCGTCGTGGTGATGGTCGTGGTGGTCGTCGTCCTCGTCGTCGTGGTCGTGGTCGTGGTGGTGGTGGTGGTCGTCGTCCTCGTCGTCGTCGTCGTCGGCGTCGTCGTTGTCGTCGTCGTCGTCGTCGTCCCCATCGCCGCCGGCGTCGTCGTCGTGGCCATCGTCGTGGCCGTCGTCGTGGTCGGCGACGCCATGGGAGCGCCTCCGCCCGCACGACCCACGGGGCGCCCGGCTCGCCGTACCGCGGCGGCCCGGGGGGCCCGCCGCCCGCGCCCTGGGACTTCTGCAAGGGGTCCTCGCCCAGGAAGGCCGAGAGAGCCTCTCTCGGGGGCGGCAAAGAGGGGGGTGTCCAAGAGGGGGGGGTGCAAATCATGACCGCCGGCGTGTGCGCGGCCCCGCGGGGGGGCCTGGGACGCAATGGAATAAGAAGAGGCGCCATGAAATCTGAGGAAATATCATGGCCCGCGCCATGAAATCCCCCGCTGGGCCCCAGGACCGTCAGAAAACGGCTCAGGAGGCAAAACCGGTCCCGGGGAAAGGGTCAGGGTTTCCGGGGACCGCGTATGGAAAAAAATCAAGACCGCGTATGGAAAAAAATCAAGACCGCGGGGAAAGGAGGCAAGACCGCGTATGGAAAAAAATCAAGACCGCGTATGGAAAAAAATCAAGACCGCGGGGAAAGGAGGCAAGACCGCGTATGGAAAAAAATCAAGACGTCGCATGTCTGGGGAGGTGGCACAGCGACCTCACGCGGAGGCATTGCGTGGGCCACCAGCGCGGCACGCGACGCTGCAAACGAGGGCGCGCCGACGCGCGACCCCGCGCGGGAAGCTTCCGCGCCCATGTCGGCGCAGACGGCCCCGTTTTTCTGCGTCGCTGCTCACCTGTCGAGTGGGCGATCGACTACAAAATCGACGCGTCGATCCAGAGGACACCCCGGAAGGCGAGAACGTAAGCATAGATGAACACAACAAAAACCGCCGATCCGGCGTGTTTCTGAGAGCGCGGGCTTGAGCTCGCTCAAGCTTCGCTGTGTCGGGTGGGGGGGGCTGACGCCATGGCTGACGCCACTCAGGCCCGGGAAGGGGGAGAGAGGCGGGGAGCTCGCTCAAGCTTCGCTCTATCGGGGGGGGGCTGACGCCATGGCTGACGCCATTCAGGCCCAGGAAGGAAGGGGGGGGGGAGAGGGACGCCATGGCTGACGCCATTCAGGCCTGGGAGGAGGGAGCCGGGGGGAGGGGGGGGGGGGGCTGACGCCATTAAGGCCCTGGAGGGGGGAGGGGGGGGGAGGAGGGGGGGCTGACGCCATGGCTGACGCCATTAAGGCCTGGGAGGGGGGACGGAGGGGGGGAGCTCGCTCAAGCTTCACTCTGTCGGGGGGGGGGCTGACGCCATAGCTGACGCCATTCAGGCCCGGGGAGGAGGAGGGGGGGGGGGAAGGGGGACGCCATGGCTGACGCCATTCAGGCCCAGGAGGACGGAGTCGGGGGGCGGGGGGCTGACGCCATGGCTGACGCCATTCAGGCCCAGAAGGAGGCGGGGGGGGGGGAGGGAGGGGGGGGGGCCAGCTAGGTGCGCTCGCGTCATATCTGACGTCCTACCCCTCCCTCCCATCCCTTACCATGGCGCTGATTTTCTCTATCCGCGGACGCGTGTCGTAGCGGACCTGTGGCTCCGCGCGCGCGTGCGTAGTGGGTGGTGGTGCACGTGTGTGCGTGCGTGCGTGTGTGCGTGGTTGTCGTGGTGGTGGTGGTGGTGGTGGTGGTGGTGGTGGTGGTGGTGGTGGTGGTGGTGGTGGTGGTGGGGTGGTGATGGTGGTGGTGGTGGTGCTGGTGGTGGTGGTGGTGTGGTGGTGGTGGTGGTGGTGGTGTTGGTGGTGTGGTGGTGGTGGTGGTGGTGTGGTGGCGGTGCGGCGCGGTGGTGGCGGGCGGATGGGCGCGCGAGAAAAAGGCCCGCGCTGGGGCGAGAACGCCATCCTGAACGACGGAGGCCTAACACGCTGCAGCGGGAGCACGATTCGGAACGATTCGGGAGCAGAAATGAGGCCGGCGCCTCAACGAGAGCAGCATTTTGGGAAAAAATGACGCCCGCGCCTCAGCGAGAGTCGTTTCCCGGGATTTCCCGGGCATCCTGTGTATAAAAAACAATACGCGGAGGGTGCGCGGCCATCAGCCGGACGCCATCAGGGGAAGCGGGAGAGTATTTTCATATTGAGTAATTGTGGACACCATGGCTGACGCCATTCAGGCCAGGGAGGAGGGAGTCGGGGGCGGGGGAGGGGCTGACGCCACGGCTGACGCCATTCAGGCCCGGGAGGGGGAAGGGGGGGGAGCTCGCTCAAGCTTCGCTCTGGCGCGCGCGCGGAGCCTTCTGCGTCACGCCGTGGGGGAATGGGTTCCCGCCCGGGCGCCGCCGGGGCGCGCCCATATGGCCCGATCGTTCGGGGGGGGTCGGCCCATACCCGGGTCGGCCAGGGCCCTGTCGTGAAGCCCGTCCAGCCGCTCAGCAGCCCTCCAACCCGGGTCAGCCAGAAGGGGGCGGCTGACCTCCGTTTTAGCTCTGTCGCTCAGCACCGGGCATGGGAATGGTCTCAGCTCTCCCCAATTCTCCATGCGACTCAAGGACTTGCATGCTTTTTCATGTTTTCCTTGTAAGCCTCCGAGGCCCCACAGAGCCACCACCAGGATTCCTCATACTAAAAAAAACCCATTTGAAAAACACCACACTGTCCCCACGTGGCTCCCAGACCCTTTCTGGGTCCATCTGGCGCACTTATCACCCCGGATAAGTTTTTGACGGTGCCGGGACCCCAAAGCGGCCCCCGAGGCAGAAAGAGCAACTAGCCTGGCGAAGAGTCCAGCCTTTTCAAAAGAAGAACGACTACAAACGGGACCGCTTCATCCACAAGAACGCGCTGAATGATCTGCAATATCCCTGACAAATCCGCTAAACGCAGCCAAACCGCACACAAGGTCCCCCAACCACGCATGCAATCTCGCACATCGAATCGCCAAGGGGACGACGAAGATGAACGCGACCCGGAGCCGAACGGGGCCATGGAGGCGAGGACACACACTTCCTGGGGCCCATGGCGGACACCATGCGAGCACGCCCACTGGGTGCATAGGTGCAGGTCCCCGTCGGGCACGACACGTGTGAGAGGTGCGCCGAAACGGGCGGGGGGGGACGCCATGCGAGCACGCCCACTGGGGCCATAGGTGCACGTCCCTGTGGAGCAAGACGCGTATGAGGGGTGCGCCAACAAGGGGGGGGGAAGACGCCATGCAAGCAAGCCCACAAGGAACACAAGTGGAGCGCCCTGGAGGCACGAAACACAAAACGCGTGAGGGGGTGCGCAGACATAGGCGAGGGGACACCATGTGAGCACGTGTGGGATACGACACGTGTGAGAGGTGCGCCGAAATGGGCGGCGGGGACGCCATGCGACCACGCCCGCTGGGGGCGTCGGTGCAAGTCCCCGTGGGGCACGACATGTGAGAGGTGCGCCGTAATGGGCGACGAAAAAACGCAATGCGAGCACGCCCACTGGGGCCGTAGGTGCAGCGCCCTGTGGGGCACGAAACGTCAGAGGCTTTGCCGAAATGGGCGGGGGAACGCCATGCGGGGGTCAGAATGAAGGAACCGAACGGTCATTCCGCAATACGGATTGTTGTTGCGTTGCGTTGCGTTCTTGTTGTCGTCGTCCCTCTCGCGACCTGGCCAACGACCCACCCGCGAACTACCCGCAACCCACCCCACGACCCACCCGCGACCCACCCGCGACCCACGCCGCGACCCACGCCACGACCCACGCCGCGACCCACCCGCGACCCCACCCGTGACCCACCCGCGACCCACCCGCGACCCGCCCGCGACTCACCCACGACCGACCCCCGACCCACCTCCGACCCACCCGCGACCCGCCTGACCCACTCGCGACCCGCCCGCGATCCGACCCATTCGCGACCCGCCCGCGACCCACCCGCGACCCGCCCGCGACCCGCCCGCGACCCACTCGCGACGCGCCCGCGACCCACCTGCGACCCGCCCGCGACCCACTCGCGACCCACCCGCGAACTAGCCGCGACCCACCCCGCGACTCACCCGCGACCCGTCCGCGACCTGCCCGCGACCTGCCCGCGATCCACCCCGCCACCCCCACGCCGCGACCCACCCCGCGACCCACTCGCGACCACCCCGCGACCCGCCCGCGACCCACCCGCGACCGACCCCCGACCTACCCGCGACCCGCCCGCGACCCACTCGCGACCCACCCGCGACCTAACCCCGACCCACTCGCGACCCACCCGCGAACTAGCCGCGACCCGCCCCGCGACTCACCCGCGACCCACCCGCGACCCACGCCGCGGCCCACGCCGCGACCCACCCCGCGACCCACCTGGCGACCCATCCGCGAGCCGTTCGCGACCCGCCCGCCCCCTCATTCCTATCCGAAATTGCGGGGAGCTACGTACAGGTAGGTCTCTGTGGGGTGTGGGGCACGACGCGTGCGAGGGGTGCGCCGAACTGGGCGGGGGGGACGCCATGCGAGCACGCCCACTGGGGCCATAGGTGCACCTCCCTGCTGGGTACGGGGGGGACGCCATGCGAGCACGCCAACTAAGGCCATGAGTGGAGCTCCCTGGAGGCACGAAGCGTGTGAGGGGGTGTGCCACGATGGGCGGGGGGAGCACGCCCACTGGGACCATATGTGCAGCTCCCTGTGGGACGCAAAACGTGTGAAGGGTGCGCCGAACTGGGCGGGGGGACGCTACGCGAGCACGCCCGCTGAGGCCATGAGTGGAGCTCCCTGGGGGACGAAGCGTGCGAAGAGTGCAGAAGCGGGCGGACAGGAGGCGAGGCGGAGGAGGAGGAGGAGGAGGAGGAGGAGGAGGAGGAGGAGGAGGAGGTGGAGGAGGTGGATGAAGTAGGAGGTAGGAGGTAGGATCGCACGCCACTGAAGGGAAAAGGGGGGGGGGAAGTCCGACGGCCCAAAGAACCCAGGGGGGGGCCATCAGAAGGGGGACTGTTTGTCACCCTGGCAGGCAGGCCAAAGACCTGCCAGGGGCCAACGACAGCCCCCCCCCCCCCCCCCCTGGGTATCTAACCGCCCAGTTCTTCGTACTCCAGATCATCGTCTGGGCCTCGCTCACGTCGCCTCAGTCCCAACTCAGCGGCTTCGAACTCAGTAGGTCCGAACGCTTGTAGGACATCAGCCAGGCACAAACCTGCACGTGCAGGATGGTCCGAAGTGGCTCTGGCCATCCTTCCAGCTCCCATCTGGGCCTTCTTGGACACCGAGACCCCCCCACCACCCCACCAG